CCCTTCTCCCTCTTTACTCTCAGGGTGTTATTCTAACCTAAACCTATATGTCTGCAGTTTTTCTTTTCAGCTTCTATATGCAGGTGACTGTGTAGTACTTGAGGACATCAGTACTAACTCTCTTACTCTTATTTTACTGAACAAGTGCAACTTGTATGAAATTACCTAAAACATACATTCTCATTTATCATTTCCAGACCAATCCAGATAAAAGGTCTCCTCCCATGAGTTCATGTATCATGAACATGTATTATTTTTTTATTTCTATTTTATGAATATTAGAACCTGGGACATGATAGTCAATAATTGTTCCATGTAATGACTCACCACCTTTGGTATATTATTCTGTAGCTGATAGCATTTATTTATATGTCTATCTAACCTACTAAATTGGGAATTTCTTGAAAACAAGAATTGTTTCTTAGTCATCTCTTATTCACCTGGCAATGTCTAAAATGCAAAAGCTATTTGTGAAAAAGGTGAGAGGAAAATGAATACCTTGGTGACATGGATCATTTTTACACATTTAAATAATTTTTAATGAATAATGATTTTTAGCTGTGATAATAAATGAACGTCTGAGAAAACCAGCAACATGACAAGTCCAACTATACATTATTTCAGATAAATGAATTCTGAATTATTTTACTACTGAAATAATTTATGTAATTATTTTCAGCTCAAATTTAACTCATCAGAGCTAATTAGATAATTTGTAGCCTAGAGAATGAATAGTCTGAGCGCCTCACATTTTCCTTTTCCCAGGTTCCCTTTAACTTGATAGAATTAAAGATAACTGATTGTTCACAGACACAAGTTCTCATTTTAAAATTGACTTTATCTTTTTATCTTTGGCAATTTAGTTTGGTGCTTATATAGTTTCCTTTACAGTACCCTGCTCGCTCGCTCACTCTCTCTCTCTCTCTCTCTCTCTCTCCCCCTCCTCTGTGTGTGTATGTGTGTGTGTGTGTGTGTGTGTGTGTATTTTCTAGTTATTGTAACAGAAACCATCACAGAATCACAGCTCCTACCTTCCTAATCCATTATGTCAGTCTACTTATTGCTGGCCATTTCCCAATCATGGTAAAACACACACACACCTGCACATACACATTAAAGTATGGTAAAGATAATAAAATTAAGATTCTAAAGCACTTATAACTGCCTTCAATGCAAACTTTCTCAGTACTTTCTACACTTAAATAAACCACACTGAAACCTCCAAATACTACATTTGCTTAGGTGAGGTTTCCAGGCCACTTAATACATGTTCTTTGGGATTCTGACTTTTACTGCAGCAAAAGAAACTCTCTGTAAACTCTTACTTTACCACAAGCCTCTAAAGAATGCCAGATGAAAGCATAACTCTCCTATGTCTTGTCACAAAAATCCACATTTCTGGTTACTCACAAATTAAAACACTATGATCTTAGTACAAAGGCTCTTGCAGATTCCCTGATACAGTCAAACTGTGGTTCTTCAGATGTATAGGTTATATATGGCTGAGTTTTTTGTGGTTTGTAATTCTAAGTTGAATTTTCCCTTTTGCCATAAATAGTTCTAGATCATCTCCTCTTTTGTTGTTTGGATGTGGTAAGGGTTTACAAATGTTAGAAACATTTACCATAAAATAAGATAACCCTAAATAAAACATGTTTAGGGAGTTAACTGTGTTGCCCCCAAATCATACGAGATAGTTAAGACCAAAAGTAATTGTTTGGTGTATGGCTGAGATCCCCCTTCAGGATGCAGGCTGTAAGCATTTGTTTTCTTAATTTCAAGGATTGGGACCTGCTGAGTCTTTCCTTTAGATATGGTTTTGGGCAAAAGGAGCTGTTTTACCCAATGTTATAAACCCTTCCTCACAACAGTCTATAGGCAATGACTCCAAAGTGGGATGTTCCAAAACCCACCTCTCATCTTCTTTTAAAATAGGAGAGTCCCTTGGCTGCCCTTGCAGGAAGTGTGACAGGGGTATGGCTCTTTGGTCACCGTGAGCTCAAACTCCTTGTGGGAAGGGGAGCATGCAGATGGGCAGGTGCAGAAACCAGGGAAAGCACTTTTGGGCTCTGGCCCCACAGCATCATCTAGGGGTGGGTGCTTGTGACTCCTGAAGATCTGGTGTTACAGTGCTCTTAGCTCTGCTGTCCACAGACAGCTTACCTGTTAACTAGCTCAGTGTCCCCTTGGCACCCAGGCCCTTATCTGGCATCCAGGAAGAATCAGGTTATACATGGACTTGAAGAGTGGTAAATGCAAGGATTTTATTAAGTGTTGGAGGTGGCTTTCAGTGGGATGGATGGGGAGTTAGAAGGGTAATGGAGTAGGAAGGTGATCTTTCCTGAAGTTTGGCTGTTCTGTGGCGGAACTCTTCTCTTACCATCTGCAGCTGGACTCCTCTTGGTGTTGATATTCCTTCCCTTCTCCCCTTCTCTGTCATGCAGTTCTTCTGCTCCTTGGCTCTTCTGCTCCTTGGCTCTTCTGCTCATCGCCTCATGGAGTCAGAGGTTTGAGGTTTATATGGGTACAGGATAGGGAGTATGATGGGCCAAAAGGCAACATTTTGGGCACAAAACCGGGATTGCCTGTTCCTATTTAGGGCCCTGGGTTTCCAGACTTTAGAGTGGGACCTTTGCTGTGAACCACCCTCTTCTACTCAGTATTTCCCTGTCTCCTGTCTGTATCACTTCCTCCAATTTGGGTAAGTTATTCGAGCTTTAGAGCTCTCCAGGTAATCAGTTGAGACTTCTGTTGCAACTGTTTTCAGTTTAATTTCTCCCTGTCCTCAACCCTGTTTTCTTTGTTCTCTTAGGCATTGTTCCTGAGAGTAGCTCCAATAAGCCATGTGGCTGCAATCATCCAGCTCTTTCTTGTGGAATCCAACCATTGACTATTGACGCCAGGAGTGGTCCTGGGAGACTGAGAATTTTGGAGCTGTATCACCCAACAGCTGGCTAGGAATAAGACTCCTGTCATTGCTGGTAGGTTGAATATGTTTAGCTACTGTCTTGTAATTGTTAAAACTCTCATAGGTGATGAATTGATATGGGAATAGGCAGGTGAAATATCTCAGGCCTTGGAAAGGTAGAAGAGAGTAGCAATTACAAGAAACAGGAATCAGATGGCTCATTCTATCAGTGTATTTGTCGATAATAAACAGCAAAGGGACACTAATGATCAATTTAAGGCAAAACATGGAAGTTAGTTTTAGTGGCAAAAAACAAAACAAAACAAAACAAACTTTCCCTACTATTGGGAAGGGAAGAAAAATTTGAAGAGTTAATTATAAAAGTAGTGGATCTCTTAAAAAGGTTGAATTCTCTACCCTTGCCAGTCAAGCCTGTTAGGTTAAGGTCAGGACCTAGGTTAAGGTCAGGACCTGGTTAGGAAGGAGTAAGACCTTGAGACTTGTCATGGTGACATCTGAGCTGAGGCACTAAAAACACCTTAAAACCCCAGGGATTTTTTTGTTTTCTCTTTTGAGACAGAGTTTCAGTCTTGTTGCTCAGACTAGAGTGCAATGGCATGATCTTGGCTCACTGCAACGTCTGCCCCCCTGGGTTCAAGTGACTTTTCTGCCTCAGCCTCCCAAGTAGCTGAGATTACAGGCATGTACCACCATGCCAGGTTAATTTTGTATTTTTGGTAAGGACAGGGTTTCTCCATGTTGGTCAGGCTGGTCTTGAACTCCTGACCTCAGGTGATCTGCCCGCCTTGGCTTCCCAAAATGCTGGGGTTACAGGCATGAGCCACCATGCCCGGCCAAAACCCCAGGTTTTTCTGAACTCACTGGTACTGTATTAGTGAACCAATGTTCTCCACTAAAAATTAGCCTTCTCTCTTTGTTGAAAACAGTTCAGAAGTCTTTGTCTTACAAAGCAACATGTACCTTCCTTCACTCAAGATCTACTTCCGCCTTCTCTCCTGGTCACAGAACAAGAAAACAACTAGAGTCAGGAGAACATAATCTGGTCTGGGAATCTGAGGGTCTGCTAATGGAGTAAAGGGCTATTGTAAAACCTAGAAAATATGTACCATCAGGAGTTGGGAGAGGATGGGGACTGGATCTTAAGGATGCTGGATCAAGCAGAGAAAGAATATAAGGTTGGATAAGGGAGAATTTGCTGATATAGGACCACCCTCCAGTGATATAGGATATAACATTCTGGCAAGGACCCTGAAGATCGGTGCCAATATGTAGTCATTGACTTTCAGAAGCTTTAAAAAATTGATGTTAAAAATTCTAGAACTATCATGCAAATAGTGGAAAGAGATCAAAGGCTTAGAGAAGTGGCTTGCTAGAGTGGATATAGTATATAAGGTCTAAAATACCTACCAGCTGACTATGTTCTGTGGAAGGACCCAGAGAACACACCATTTAGCAATACAATAAGAAATGTGCATATGAGAGGGGTCCTGGCATCATTGAAAAATTCAGTAGTGTCTTTCAGGAGAAGACCAGTGCTAACTTCCTCATAGCAATCGGAATGTTTAAATCCCAACATTAGAAACAAACAAAAAACAGGTGGTGGCGTTTAATGGTCAGAAATTGTGAGTGTAATTATTATTATTATTTTTTTACAGTCAGAGAAAAATGGAATTCAGTTTTATTTTGTCCTCTCTGAAACTTCCATTTACACCACGGCGTCATCTATCAAGAAGAGGAAGAAAAAGCCCTGCCTTATACCATAAAAATCAAGTACTCATGTACTTGTTACAAGTGGCAGTATATCCAGTTTTTTGGCTCCAAATTATACTTTCAGTACCAGTGTGGTGAGGAACCACCGGCAAACTGCTGGAAATGTCTTCTGGATTAGTCAGTGTGCCATTTCATAAATTGCTTCTGGAGTTAAAATCGGCCAAGTTGTCAAGTGTCCACACATTTGCAACCAAGGATAAAAGAATCCCAGTGGGTATCACTGAGTCCTTCCCAGCTGGGTCTCATTATTGGCACTGCTGCTTTAACCTTCGAGGCGCTGGCCCTCACCCCAGGTGAAGCCTCCTGGCCGTTCTTCAGGTAGTGGATTGTAATTTGGATCCTCACCTGGTGTATCAAAAATAGCTTTCAAGATAGATGGTGTTTTCAGAATTCTTATTCCGCTAGGCTGATTGGGAAATACATCTTCCAAGAAAAAATATATGCGTCCAACTGCAATACCCAAAAGGTCTACAATGATTGAGTTCCCCAACAACAAGGAAAACCCCATAGGCACTCAGGGCAGAAAGGGAGCCTGGAAGTTGAGAAGGCCGAAGAAGTTCATACGGACATAGGGGTTCCTTTGGCACCCCACGTAGACGAGTATTATCATAAAGGCCTGGCCCAAGAAAACTAAGCTCACAAACAAACCAAAAAGGGTCATTAAGAATCCGCCAAAAAGGAACATAAATACAAAGTCTGCTGTCCGACCTCGGAAAGAGCCTTCTTCTAGCATTCGACAGTAACCATATGGAAAAAATCATGTTAAAAAAAACTGAATCCATCTGGCCCCAAAAATAAGAAATTGGTGATTAATCTCCATATCTGAAAGCGTTTAAAGATACATTCGGGACTGAAGTACAACTGAGAAGGTGTGATCCATTCCAGCTGCACGGCTGCGGTGGTGAGGGTGCAGGCAGTGGTGCAGGCGCGGCAGTACTCCAGCCGCAGGCTCTGGTACCCCATCCTCCCCCCACGCCCCTCCTGCCAGCGGGCCCCCAGCAGCGGGGCGGGCCCAAAGCACCACCCCTCCCTCCCTGTTTAACCTTCCCGTGGCTGCCCAATGAGCGCCACCCAGCTGCTTGGCGCTGATTGGGCAGCCGCCGGAAGGTTAAATGCGGCCCTCGGGAAGGCACACCCGCCAATCACGAGTTGCGTCGCCCCAGCGCCGTAGCCGGGCTTCTCCATCAGCCAACGTCCCGGAAAAACGAGTAAGTATCCGTTCCTTCTGCCAGTCCCCGCCGGCCACAACTGACTTTCCCGTCCCGGCCCCTTTCTGTCACTCATTGAGGTGTCCCCAACCAGCCAATCAGGAGCGCGAGAGCATCCCGCGTTTGCTTTCGTTCGCCGAGGCGCGTTATCGGTGTGAATTTCGGGGAGCCAACCGCGCAGTCTGTCTTTGGCACGCTAGCGGCGCTTTGGCGGAGGTGGCGGGAAGCTTGCGTGTGCTCGAGTTCGTCGCCTTCGTGGTCGCTCCATTAACTGCTGCGGGGCAGCATTTTCTCTAGGAGGAGCGGGGACTGGCTGGACTGGTTTAGGCGTCAAGGCGTCATCGCGGGTAGAGTCGCGGCCTTGCCGCTGAGTGTAATTATTCTAATGGACTGTCAGCCAGGGGCCTGGGCAGTGGAGAGCTTTGAAGGTGGTTAACAGAACGCAGATCCTTAGGGCAGCCAAGGCATCACCCAATGTGTGCAATCAAAGGAAATCAAGGTGGGGCCAGGCGCAGTGGCTCACACCTGTAATCCCAGCACTTTGGGAGGCTGAGGCAGGTGGATCATTTGGGGTTAGGAGTTTGAGACCAGCCTGACCAACGTGGTGAAACTCTGCACTAAAAATACAAAAATTAGCTGGGCGTGGTGGCGGGCACCTGTAATCCCAGCTACTCGTGAGGCTGAGGCAGGAGAACGGCTTGAACCTGGGAGGTAGAGGTTGTGGTGAGCCGAGATTATGCCGCTGCATTGCAGCCTGGGCTACAGAGTGAGACTTTGTCTTGAACAACAACAACAGAAGTCAAGGTGGAATGCTCAGGAGCTTGAGGAAGCTGTCACAATAAAATGATCCATCTGCCTCAGCCTCCCAAAGTGCTGGGATTACAGGTGTGAGCCACTGCGCCTGGCCCCACCTTGATTTCCTTTGATTGCACACATTGGGTGATGCCTTGGCTGCCCTAAGAATCTGTGTTCTGTTAACCATCTTCAAAGCTCTTCACTGACCAGGCCCCTGGCTGACAGTCCATTAGAATAATTACACTCAGCAGTGAGTGTCACAATAAAAGGTCATGCTGTGTTGCTTTGTTTTCAAACTGAAGCTAATTTTCTGACCCAGACAGAAGTCATTGACTGTGAGACAGACTGGGTCCCTTTAAGAAAGAAAGGGACCTATGACAATCTACTTGGGTAAACTTCTATAACAGGGGAGAGAAAAAACTCATTTGCCTGACGCAAATATGGGATTTAACATTCATACCCAGGGACCTAAAGTGTCATCATGGCCTCTGTGTTAGAGTAGGGGCATAGAGAAGCCAAGTAATAAGTGGAGTCCTATCATAGGTCTGGTTCACACAGTGGAACTACATACCCACCCACTGGTATTTTCATCAGTCCCCAAGTGTACAAGTGGAGTGGACACACAATGTAATTGTAAGAACCCTGGTACTGAGGCCTTGGACTCAATATTGGGTAAGAACTATTTAAGCTGGAAGACTAAGTAGAAGCCACTGAAACTGCCTGCATTCAACAATATGTCAAAAACAATATCGTAGCTCAAGAAGAAAGGTAGAGATTAGTGCCATCTTAAAGACAGAAAGTTATCTGTGGTAGAAACAGATACCCCATGAAATTTCTGGCAAGCCCTACTAGCAAAATCACAGTGACTTTCCCAGGGTCCTGGAACAAGGTGGTGCCTTTTGCAGCAGAGTATTATACACCTTTTCAAAACATCTCCTGATATGCTACTTTGTTCTGATAGAGACAGAACATCTGACCATGGGATATCAAATGACCTTGTGGCCAGAGCTGTCCATCATAAGCTGAGTTTTAATCAACTCACAAAGTCAGAAGATTAGGCGATCCAAGCAGCCTTCCATCCAACAGTGAGAATGTACACCCGGGACTGGACCTGTGGAGGGCTGTACAGCACAATAAGCTGCAAGTGCAGGTAGCCAGACTTTTGTGTTATTCATCACAGCTGCACTTGTACTTCTGCCTTAGCCCCCATCTGCAGCTTTTTGACCAGCTTATGGGTAAGAAAAAAGGCTAAGCTTAGTTTATGGGTGGGTATTCTCCATGTTGATGTACATACTGAAAATGAACTGCTGCTTTATGACAATCCCACTCAATAGGGCCATGAAAGAGAGCAATGAGTAAACATTTTTCTCGTGGGCAGAGTTTTAGGCATTGTACCAGGACATATACTTTGCAAGGAAAGAAAAAATTGCCCAAGATAAGAATATACAGGAATTTCTGAGCAGTGGAAATTAGCTTGACTGCTTGGTCAGAGATTGGAAAGAAAAAAATGGAAACCTTGGTGATAAGGAGGTCTGAGGGAGAGGCATGTGATGGACTTACAGGAGTAAGTACAAATTTGAAAAGTTTTAATGTGATTATTAATGACTACCAGAAAGCATTTACCATGAAAACAGCACTGAACTCAGGTGGACAGAATGGCTCTGCTGCTGGCTGACATGTGGCAGCCAGCCTCTGTCTTCAGCTACCACGGTGCTGTCACGAGTTCATGAACAGACTATCCATGGTGTCAGGGATAAAAACTACTTGTGAGTCCTACCAACATCATGGACTGATAATCACTATGGCTAACTACCACTGCTATCGGATATTCAACTAGCCAGTATCAGAAAACAATACTAAAGCCTGATAGGATGCCCTCTTTCAAGGAGACTAACCGGTCACTTGGTGCCCAGTTGATTACAGCCTCCAAGAGGCAGCAATTCATCTTTACGGGAATCAGCAAATTTTCTAGATATGGGTTTTGATTTGCCAGTTGTGGAGCCTCAACCATCTCCAGTATCTGAGGCTTTGCAGAATGCTTGATCCATAGACATGGTATCCCACTTGACATTTTATCAGACTAAGGACCACTTTAAAGCAAAAAAAAAAAAAAAAAAAAAAAAAAAGGCAGTGGATATATCATCATGAGGTACATTGTTCCTATAACAGACCATACCACCAAAAAGCTGCCAGTCTTATAGCAGTGTTGGAACTGCTTTTTGAAGGCATAGAGGCACAGGCTTGGAGATAACACTGCAAAGATGGGGTGCTATTCTCCAACCTGCAGGATGCATCCTAAATCAGTGATCATTATCTAATGTGGTGTCCCTAATACACAGAAGTACAGTGTAAGAGTAGCCTCTTTTGCTATTACTCCTAGACTCACATGAAGAATTTGTGCTTCTGACTCTGCATCAATGAGCTCTGCAGGTCTATCTAGCATTTCTGTTAACAGATGATGAGTGCTTTAACTAGCAAGATTTTAAGCTCTATTTGCTTCTTAGTCAACCAGCACTTGAGATATAATGTATGAAAAGACCAGAAAAAGAGTCACCATTCTGGCTCAGATAATGAACCCTGATCATTACCAGTATGTGGCACTGCCATTACCTGTTGGGGCAGGCGAGAATACATCTGGCAGCCAGGTGATCCACTGAGGTATTCCCTACCCAATATTCCACACAGTTCAAAAATTAGCAGTAAAAATTTTATGTTTACACAATTGGCTGGGGACTTAACTATAATATTCAAAAATTTTTTAAATGTAGACTGTCATAAGAAAAGGTATTTTTTATGTGTTCATCATTCTTGCCTTTAAATCTGGAAGACAGACAAGATACTAAAAAGATAACAGATGGCAGAGACCCAGAGGCTTAGTTCTTAAATACATTTGTGCTATCGTTTCATTGGCTTTCCTTTTCTCTAGAGTGTGGATAAGCAGTAACCAAAACAAAGGAATAAAACCATAAGAAATCCATAAATAAGTAGAGTTTTCTGGCCTTTCCACGTGGGAGAAATGAGAGTCCATGAAAAAGCACACAAAACAAAGAAAGCTTTGTGGCTTATTTCCTACAAATATGAGAGCAACCTTCTGCCAGGATTTGCCCTGCCCACAGGCGTTAGCATGGACTTGATGATTGCAATGCGACTTTCAGTTTCTTGATTTTCCAGAGCTCACACTTCTCAAATTAAAAAAAAAAAAAAAAAAAAGATAGAAGTATAATTGGTGACCATAGAGCTCATGATTCAAATTAGCCAGACCTAATTGTTTGAAAATATATCTTTCTCTGCCTTTTTTTTCTGGCTAAAATTATTTTAAACTCAGTCAAGCAAAGTGTGTGGTGTTTCCTGCCATGTCAGGAAAACAAAAAACAACCAACAAATACAGTCCTGTTGAGAAATACTAATCATTGTACGTAAAAGAAATTTAGCCTCTTTTTATATTACTGTTAAAATCTAAGTTTTGTGAAAATTCTGACACTCATTTTATAAGACTAAAATAAATGGAGAATGTTGCTAGTCTCATTTATTGTTGAATCCTCACGCTAGGAAAGACCGGAGGCTCTGAGGGAAAGTTCATGCTGTTTTATATCCATGTTGCTAAGGTGATTTAGTGGGATGAAAACACACTGGCAACTCTCCATTAATTTGTTTACAAAAGAATATGAATGAGTTTCACCTCCTACAGTCAGGAGCCCTTCCGCTTCTACTTAACTCTAGCCAACCATGAACCAACTAGCAAATTAAGTAAAAATTCCTTCAGTTGTTGTTAAGGTACAATTACTCTCAGCAGAAACATATATAATCTGTTAAATAGTCCCAATTAACTATTTAGAGCACAAAGTGAAAAACAGAGTATACATATGTGAAACTAAGTGAAGAAAAGCTAATTTGATTCCAAAATGAAATTTATCTTGCTTTTCGGAGTAATCATCTTATCTCTGTAAGTCAAAATGGTTT